TACTACTACTACTACTACTACTACTACTACTACTGCCACTACTACTGTCACTACTACTGTTGTTGATGGTGGTACTGAGGTGAACATCATAATAGTACCACCAGTACTAGTAGTACTAGTAGTATGGAAATTATGTTCATTTTTCAACAGTAAAATAGTACCACAAATACAAATTTAATATCCAAGAAAATGGTACCTTCAGAATCAGCATAAAAAACGGGACTAGACTGGCTACTCAAAAATTAAAATAGTAGTATTTTTGGTAAAGCTGTGTAACTGCTTAAAGGTTGGATAGTTTTACTACCGGTAGTATTATGCAGTAAAAATGAGAATGAAAAAAATCCGGGGACTTTTTGGAAATTTGGACCACACGCGGAATATGAGTTTCGACGCGTTGCGCAACCCTTTAAACTTTATGACCCCTGATTACGAGTACGTACTGTACCTATCTCTCACTAGTAGAAGTACTTGCACAACCTTGCTCAAAAAGGTTCGCATTCTAATCACGTCTTTTACGTTAAATACGTGAAGTATCTGGATCTGCATTTGGAATTGCACTTGTGGAACAWGGGTAAGAGTAGAATTCGCCAATTTCTACTAGAAGTACCGGCCGGTGCAGTAATGTACTTAACTCGAAGTAACGATACCCGTACGTAGAAATAGTTTCTCTGTGAGGCATTTGCTGCCAACCTACCGGTATGGTAGATACAGTAATCCGTCTCAACTCTCAACTACTACGTACAGTACCGTACTTCGTTTGTATGAAAATAAAACTCGTTCTGTTCGTACGAGCAACGCACAGMACGGCATGCACGTCCCAATAGGATACGTACCTTACTACTAGGATGCTTCTGATCCGTGTCCGGTCGTCAAAACTCGCAACAGTTGTTTCGTTGAATCACAGCTCAGCTGAGGAGATATGGAAGAACTTGGCCATTGTGTTACCGTCTGTAGTTAAACTGCAATAAATATAAAATCGGACAATGACTAATGTCAATCCTACCCAAAGAGAGCGAAAGARCAGAAGCGTCAATGACTTTGGTTCCCAGAATGCGCTGAGAGGAGCCCTCTCAAGAATGGATGCCCGCCCTGGCGCGGACACAAATAGCACATGGGATCCATTGTCAAGGCGGCTTTCGTTGCTTCAAAGTGAAAGGAAGGCGGATGAGAAAACTATTGGTGCCATTGGGTCCGATTTGAGGACCACCGATGACATTCAAATGTTACAGTCAGTAGCCCAAGAAGCTGGCAAAGAGGTAGTCGATGGAATGGACATCGAWATGGACGACGAAGAACGTCTGAGAGAGGCAATGGAAACTGAATCTCGGAGATTGGCTGTTTTGAAGAGTTATCGTGTGGTGGGATCAGGTCGCAATGCAGCATATGAAAGATTGGTGTCCCTAGCTAGCAGAATATTCAAGGCTCCAATTAGCTACATCACTATCATTGATCTAGCAAGCAGCCACATTCTCGCTGCTAGGGGCCTTGGAGCGATGGCTGAAAATGAAGGTGAAAGAAGGTCTTCTATTTGTGCTCGAACGATCACAAGTAAAGAGGAGCACTTAGTGATTCCGGATCTCTCTCAGGACGAACAATTTAAAGACCACAAAAATGTGGTGGGGCTTCCCCACCTTCGATTTTATGCRGCAGCTTCCTTGATATCTCCGGAAGGATATCGTCTTGGTACAATTTGTGTCCTAGATACAGTGMCCCGACCAGATGGAATGTCTTTAGATATGATGCAGAACTTGAGAGAAATCGCAGGAATGGTTATGGATGTGATGGTTGAAGAACGCGAAAGAAAGAACTTTGAGTATCGCCAGCCATCGCGGATGATTGCTACCACCTCGAATGATCTGATGGCACCATTATTGGGAATCGTCAAGGGGCTCTCATCCATTCGAGAGGACGAAGGACTTTTGAACTCGTTATCAAGTCAACAGGAAGAAATTTTYAATACGGCTTTTGCGTGTTCGTCTGTAATGAGCCGCATATGCAAGAATTCTTTAGACTCTTTTAACAAGGACAGAAGAAAGCACACAGTAGTAGCTGCAAAAGAAGAAAGTAAAGAAGAGGATGAGAAAGATAATTTGTTGGTTATTCGAGATTTAGTGAAGCACCTTCATGTCGTAATGGACCCATTCCCGAAAAAAGTTCCGCTTGTCATCACAACAGACGACGCTGTGCCGCCTGTTATTGTGGCTGATGAACTGAAGGTTTTCCGTTCCGTTGTGAACTAYTTGACCAACGCCTGCTCAAAGACTGAGACTGGGTCAGTTCATCTCAAAATATATCTGAAAGATGAGACCGAAGGCATCGAGGAAGGCAGCGAGCCGCGCCAAAGTGTTATCTTCTTGGTCGAAGATACGGGGTGTGGTGTAGATGTCGAGCAATACCAGCATCTTTTCAAGCCTATCATCTTAAGTACAGAGGAGGAAGATAACTCCTGCACCCTCGCAACATTTGGAGGTAGAGATGCCACTCCGGTCATAAAACGGACGAGTTTGGGATTGTATTCAGTTGCAACACAAATCAGTTCTATTGGGGGAAGATATGGATTCCGACCGCGAGAATTCTCTGAAAGTGGATCTCGACTATGTGACTCGAACGGGAATGAACTAAGGGGGTCCATTTTTTGGCTTAGTGTCCCATTGGCTTTGCCTTATGACAAGAAAGAATCTCCTGGAAAGCCAGAGGTTGCTATTCTCGGGTCCAAAACTGGGGAAAACGAATCTGATCTTACGGACGAGCAAATGGTRGAAGATGATTGGGCGGATTCGAACACTCAAAAACGATCRTACAAATCAATTGAGGAACCCCCTTCATCTAAAGTTCGCCAGAAGCGTGCACTCATCATTGAAGATTCAATGAGTACTCGACGAGTGCTGTCAAGAATGCTTAAGAAACTAGGCTTTGATGTAGTTCAAAGTGTGAACGGCATGGAAGGACTGAAGGAACTCCAAGCCAATCTTTTCGACCTTGTTCTTTGTGATTTTTTGATGCCCGTAATGGATGGAACTGATTGTGTTCAACAGTATCGGCAATTTGAGGTTTCCCATCGTCCATGGTTCGATCAATACATCGTTGGCATTTCTGCTCATGCTTGTGATGCAGATATTGAACGTGGAATGAAAGTCGGAATGAATGACTACAGACCAAAACCAGTGACGATGAGACATCTTGAAGAAATTCTTGAGGGGCAGGAGTATCAATATGTAACTTCAAGGCTTGATTCCATTGCTGTACACTTAGAAGAAGAGGCTAATGCTGCGGATACGGCRAAAAGGTCGAAACCTGAAAAACCGGTAGAAAAAGCACCCCAAAACGAAGAAGCTATGAAGGTCTGTCTTGTAGTCGAAGAGGGAAAAATAATATCGACTGTTGCTGAGAAAGTTTCCGAAAATATGGGATGGAAATCAGTTGTTGTACACAATGGAGAAGCCGCCCTGCGCTTATTAAAAATGAGGAATTGGGATGCGGTTCTTCTCGATGAAGAACTTCCGGGAGTTACGAGCTGCAAGGTCATCGAAAACTTTCGTCTATGGGAGAGTAAGAACCGGGTTAATAGACAAAAGAATGTATTCCAAGTCAACTCGAGCTTTATTCCCACAGGTTTGGAGTGCTCGGCGGGGGTGGAATCTTCTTTATCTTCCTCGTTGGTGCAGCTTCCTTCTGGTTTTGACGGTGCTCTTGGGAAGCCTCTCTCTGCGAACATTTTGAAAAACTTTCTTCAGAGCTCGTCTGAAGGAAGTGCATCGCATCTCCTCATGTGAGGGTCAACGCTGGACTCACCCGATTCCCGATTCGTGGAGGTCAAGAAGTAAAATTTTATAGCAATTAACTGTTTTTTGGGTAACGACACAGATCTTCTACAACAAGATTTTTGAAATGTTCAACTCATGCTTTCTGAAAACTGAAGAAATTGAAAAACTAATCCGAGTTGGACTACAACAATTGAAGACATCGCTCGATGCACTATCCTCCTCCTGTACGTCTCTYCAAAATAGTCAAGATAGCAGTACATACAAGGGCGAGATACATATTGATCGATGAGAAGGAAGCTCCGGGGCAATTGATGCAGTACATGGCTTGAGCAATATTCGTGCATTATCAGTTCAGTAACTCTCAACTCAACGATCAGTCACTCCATGTTCAGAGAAGAAAGATATCTGTGGTTGAAAAATTGAATCTTAAAAACTGAGGTATCTTATCATCTTTATGCTTAGTTTCCTGCTTGATATATCCTTCAACAAGTAGTGGAGTAATATCTAAATGSGTTCTGGACAGATTCCCACTTAMATGTATAACATTCTTTACGGAAACAATACCAAAGTGTTAGAAATGGGAAATATTGGTTTTTGTCAGTGTGTCAAACTAAAGCACTGCAAAATTTTGGTTGGGTCTGCTGTCCTTGTATTTTGGGCTGCAACCAAATCTCATATTTGGAACATAGCAAAAAGATTGGGGGTGGTGGTTGGGGATGTATCCAAACCCTAGATATAGTTGGGGGTGTACCCAAATCTCTGACCTTGGGGATACAAAATGGGATCTGTTGGTTAAAGGTATTGGCTTGGGCTTGTAACCAAATGGTGGTAAGGCCATAAAGACGACACCCATTAGGGATACTATGTATGACACTCAAAGCACATACTAGTACACAGCAACACACCAGCTTGGCAACCACCAGGGTGAAAATCTTCATATAAATTTTTAACCTCATGAACTATTAAAAGAGGTACTGGGAAGGTCAGAAAAATCTGCMAAGAAGAGTACTTGTTCTAATTGCTCTAAAGGGAAACAACCATCAGGGTGATTATAAGCAGGAAGAATTTAAAAACTGAACAAAAACAAGCTATAAATATTAAACATGCAACAAGGGAAAATAGGTGGCATCCGTGAGATGAGATTGCGGATATATTGGAAACAGATGCAAATATCAAAAGAATGTGCTGGAGGTTCTTGTTAGAAATGACGAATTGTTTAGCAAGGAGCTATTTTTAAAACTTTTATCTACTAGTAGAGCATTACTAGAGCATAAACAAGGACCTTATACACTAAATTTGATCTAATTCCTCTTTCAGCACAAAAAAATCAACAAGGAGCTCTACTGAAACAGAGGGCTCCAACTGAGATAGTATAGATTATCCATTGGACAAGTAGAACACTAGAGGAGTTGGAACAACCACAAAGGATGATAATGATACCAGCAGGACAATTGACTCAAAAGAGTATGGTGGTAATGACACCAAGGAACAAAATTGAGGATTGAGTACCAATGGAGTAATGTAGGAAGAGCATGACAATATTAACCTAGCTAGATGGTGAAAACCAGYGCAGGTAGTAGTACYATGCTCCCTTGCTACCGTACCGTACGGTGTCAACCAAAACACAGGTTCAGTAGAAATAGCTTGCGACAACACTCCGAAGGATCCGAAGGATAGGGCTAACAATATTCGTAGTAAAAATGACCAACACGAACGGTACATCGTATCGTATTTTGGTACCGTAGATCATGGCGATACTGTACGGTAGGGTAGGTACAGTAGAATTTAATTTAACGGACAGAACCAAAAACGCCTCTCGCGACTACAAGTACGGTACCTGTAGCACCGGTACGGCAGCATTCTTTGTGGTATTACATTTTGTAGCTGTCATTCCAATCCTTTTCTCATTATTATTTTAAGACGCGTCCATCATTACTAGCACAATCCATTTGTAAAATAAAAGATCCGATAAAGATACCGCTATAACATACAACCATGGGGAAACCAGAAAGTATTGGCGTTCAGGTATTGACAGCCGGAGGTGCTGCGAACCCCGGAAAAAGCGGAAAGGGAAGAGCGCCACGACGGAGGAATGAAAGCAGGAATAAGGAAAACACGACGCCCGATAGATTAAATCCGGACGCCACCATTGGCAACGTAGATCAGCAAGACGAAGATGGCAGGAAGAATTCGCAATTGTTGCAAACGAAAATATCGACGGAAACGTTCTCGTTGGAATACGAGGATCCAGAAGCTGAGGTCGACGATCACGAAACCGAGAGCAACGGTGCCGATGCTGGCACGGGCGTTGTGAAAAAGACGCCAAAAGATGGTTTTCCCGAAAACGAATTGGTGACACCTGTAAATATCGAGGAGTTATACCAAGAGGAATCTCAATCGTCAAAGAAGTCAGATATTTTTTGGCTCTTTGTTTGCTTTATTGGTATTATGGCATCCTTCGTGTGTTACGGTTTGATTCTGGAGTACACCACGAGTGGCGGTCGGAAGCTTCACGAATTGAGTTTCCTTTTTGTAACCTCGGGATTATATACGCTGACAGCAGCTGCTGGTCGTTATGTTAGAGGGGAAGAAAAATCAACTATTCCTCCGTCGCGGTTTGCCGTCCTTGGTCTCACAAGCATGGGTTCGACCTTTACGTCCGTTCGATCGCTTCGTTTTGTTATCTATCCGATTCAGGTGTTGGCAAAAAGTTGCAAACCTGTACCAGTTATGCTGATGGGAACTCTCATGGGCAAGAGATACCCTCTTAGCAAGTATATCAACGTAGTAATGATTGTCATTGGAGTAGCATTATTTATGGGTGGAGGCGACAACAACAAGGGGAAGGACGACGAAGAGAAATCAACAGGCTCACAGATGATTGGTATCATTCTCTTGTTCTTTTCTTTGTGTTTCGATGGTGGCACTGGGGCCTACGAAGACAAGCTCATGAGTGTCCATAGTGTGCAGCCCTTTGATTTGATGTATAATATTCAACTGGGAAAGACTATATTGGCCGGCGTATCGCTGTTGGTGAGTGAAAACATTTAAATGCAATGCAGTCCTGTTGGTCCTCGGTTTTTGAATTTCGAAATTAAATTGATCAGAAAGTCTTACTTCTCTCTGGGAATGTATCGATCCATCATCTGCGCGTCGTTTTTAGGTTCTGAACCAGTTGCACATTTTTATTCAAATGTGCCAAGAGATGGGAATGTTGTTGGTTGCCCTTGGTTTGAGTGGTGCAATGGGACAGGTGAGTGAGGTTTGAGAAACGATGATTTACCAAAAAAAAGTCGTGGAAAATATTTGGCGTCAAGTTGAACACAGCTCTAAACCTCATTCTATCTTGACGTGGAATATGWCTTTGATCGATAATTCAGGTCTTCATTTTCGTTACCATTGCGAAATTTGGCGCTCTTACATGTAGTATCATCGGTTTGTCCAGAAAAATCACAACGCTTTTGGCATCAATCTACTTCTATGGGCATCATTTAAATGGAATTCAAGTTAGCGGTCTTGTGATTTCTGTAACAGCGATGGTTATGAACTTTATGGGAAAGAGCAAAAAAGGAGGGGGCCATGGGCACAGCGAAGCACAAAATACGAAAGAACACGACAAGGAACACGAGGATGAAGAAATGCAAAAGATGCTTTCCGAATATCAGGATACAGATGAGGAAGGTGGAGATATCGAACTCCTCGGGAAATCTCGTCGATGATGATTGTCGTCCAAGYGATGCCAGCAATGATGAGTAGTGGTCTCCAAGCGATCAACGATGCTAGTTAAACCATGCAATACGAGATAACGATCGATAGTCTTCAGACTTTGTTCACACATCCTGTGTCAAATTGGATTACGAGACCGTGAGCGCCAATTAGTAAAAAACAAACGACTGTCCTTAATGGAATAATCAAGACTTTTTTGGTGATAAGAAAGTTTCCATTGTGCTCAATATCAATAGCTTTATTGTTAATCTTAAATATAGCGCTGCTCAAACATGATTTCAAATCATTATTCTACCTTCCAGCAAGTCTTCTCTCTCTTTTACATGCGCTCATGAACCCTCTCACAGCGGCATTAAAGTCCTTTCTTGGAATCCCGCTGTTCAGAATGCCAATAAATTCCACTCGAGGACATTCGGGAGCGTTAGCCAACGCGACACTGATCCATTGAGACATCATGGTAGGTGAGAAAAAGTGTAATTTCCATAAGACACCAGCAATAGATCCACTGCCGGTATCAACACTATAAGCTGGTAAATCACCTGTCAAAGAACGCGCGAGATTGTTAACAATAGATTGACCTTCGTCAGCAAGAACGCTCTCCAGGGCCTGAAGAGATTCTCGTGTATTTTTTTCTTTTACAGAAAGTCCATAGGAAACAGAATTCTCAATAAAGTTCAATGTTCCCTTGTTTGCATCGCGATGATCCAATTGCATACCCACRCAGGCACACTGAAAAAGTGATCGAAGAAGAGGGCTCAGAACTAGTGGCTCGGGACAGTAGGTTATCATACGGCCCATCRTGTAAAATAGCTCTTCCACCACATCAGGATGCTGCGTTAAATCTTCAAGGTTGTTGAGGAAAGAAAAAGAGACGGATGCCATCGCATTTATCATATTAAAGAGATTCAAAGCATGTTTGGGGTCGCGACCATATTCAGTGACACAAATACTCGCAGCATAAAGATAAGCTGATTGACGAGATCTCTCGTAGCTTTGAATCAATTGTTTCATCAGAGGCTCGAGCATGGGTTCGTATGCAACTGCCCCACAAGAYCTCAACGCATGCTTGTGTAAGCGGCAGATTTTCTCTGCCATGGCACTGTTCAGAGCGAAACGAACTGAGAGTGAATCCAATATCGGCCAAACCGATTGAATTATTTCCACTATTGGAGAGGCGCGAGACGTTTGGACACTAGGAATAGTGAGACATTGCACTATCACTGTTAGGCGGTCTAATTCAGGAATGATGTCCTGCTTTGGCTTAGAATTGGGATCGGCAGCTTTCGCTTGCAGTCGATTTCCAATAGGCTGGATGATCTTTTGTACAAAGCTCGACCCGTCTACTTTTGTATCTTGGACTTGTCGGGAAATAGCTCTACATGCCCCCTCAAGGAGTTCGAGTTCGTCTTTCAGTGCGAGAAGGCCGGGGGATGCGGTTATTTCCGTGTATAGTTGCAGTACAGGCTCACCTATTGCCACGTTCTGGTTTGAACATTCGCAAAGCTCTTTGATTGACAGAGCAGCAGCAGCGGAGCAGGAAGGGATGGAAAGACCCTGTGCAAGAAAGGGCATTAAAGGTTGAAGCATTTGTGGATGACCAACTAGCCATGAAGCATACTTTCCAATTATCTTACTTGCAGTACAACGAAGAAGGCTGACATCCAGAGGTAGCCGTGGAATAAGCTCAAAGCAAAATGGTAAAATTAGAGCTTCGTCACCCGGTATAAACTTGTTGATCGATAAAATGCACATCAGGCAAGATTCGATGCCTTGCCAGTTGTTTAAGATATTGGTACCGTCACTCTGAACTCCACTTCGCAACTGCGTTCCAAGGCGATCCAAAACAACATGCCCGCCCACCAGTCGACAGCAATCCTCCACAGTTTCTGATACGTAAAAGCGATTCCGGGAAATCTCATCCTTTTCGTCTTCAGATAGATCTGATACATCGGGTGGGTATTTCATCAGGTTCCCCGAACATACGTCAATCAGCTGTAGCAAATAAGGTGTGTATCGGTCGATCAAATCCTGTCGGAATTCATAAGGTTCAACTGATTCCAGGTCTATCACCATTCTGTACCAGAAATGAAGCGTGATGCTTGAAATTTCAGTTTCTGGTATTGAAGAACACTTCAGAACCCATTCCACTAGCTGTGAAGCTTCTTGGAATTGGGTCGACAATATTAAGCTCATATACGATTCAGCCATCTCGGTGATAATCCGACAATATGTTCGAAGGATATCTTCATCTCCCGATTTCAAAGCTTGATCAAAAGGAAGCTGCGATGATAGAGGTATCATCCTTTGCACTAGATCGTGATTGGATCGGATGAAACTTGGGTACATTCTGTAAGTTTCGATAATGAGATCTGCTGCGAGTTCCATGGTGTCTTGATTCAGTAACGCATGAAAGGAAGCCTCCAGCAACGGAGATTCTGTGATGACATTTGGCTGTACAGGGACATAGCGAATCCATGTGAAAAGGACTTCGTACGCAGTATTCGGAGCACCATCCCAATTTTGAATGAACCGAAAGACATCCGTAGACAACGCAACAAGGTGGTCTCTCATATWGTAGCGTTCGTTCTCGTCAAGGAGAACCAGGCGATCGGAAGCACACTCCTCCGCGAGAACTTTAAATACCTGCATTACAATAGGTCTTTTCTGCGGATCGGTATTAACTGTTGACAACAAGTCCGTCACMACAGTGGTCCATCCCATTTGAACGGCAAGGGCCGAAAATGCCATTGCCAAACGATTCGTCAATGCAACATCTCCCATCGTAGAATATGTACCAAGGTGGACAAATAGCGAATCTCGCAGCGAAGGCAGGGAAGAAGCAGGAAGTTGGAAAACATCGGCTCTGCACTTTGTGTGAAGTGTTTGTGCCGCAAAAAATCGCTGCTGTTGTTGTTGCGTAGCATCTTGGGGACTTGTAGGAGCAGCATTGGCTTGGAGCAAACGGTCACAGACCATCCAAGCGACAGGAGAACCTTGAAAACTAGTCAAGTACCGGTCGGCAAGTTTCCTTTGCTCCCACCAATTCGAAGAATTGTTCGTCACAGTTTGTGGGGCAAAGACAGCTTCCAACGCAAGTCTCACTCGCGTCGTCTCCTCTTCGGCATTTTCACAATGTGCGGGCAAGTCTGACATTTTCTCGCTTGCTGCGATCAATGASTGCGATATGAAGTCTCAAGATGTGAATCGMTTCAGTTTTGTCGTCGTACTTTTACAAGRGTGCCTACCCAACTGCCTCCGCGTTTTGCGATTGTGGATGTAAACAWATGCTGCGGGAAAACTAAACAGGAAAGGAAACCCAACCAAGAAGAGGACCAAAACGAATCTCGGAAGATGGTAAGAATGCGGTACGTACGCAGTACGTGCGGAGAGGTATGGAGGATACGATACAGTAGAAGTTGCTCTAATTGAGACGRTATTTCGAAAATATTGGTCTATTCGTCTTTTTGATGTTTCCGAAAACTTACTGTAACTTTTTCCCGTCTCCGCCCAAATCGTGCATTTTTTGGAATTTTTTTTGGAGTTTTCATGATTTTCACCTG